AAGAAGCAAACATCAACTGATAAAGAAGGTGTCTCCCAGTTGGAAAATCAGTTTAGAGGCACATCAATAATGTATATCACACAATAAAACTGCAAATGAAATGCATTTCAAAGTGTGAAGAGAAGGTGCAATTAACTGTTGTTATTTTACAAATCAAAGATAATTATCAGGTAATGATCAGATCATTTCTGATATTCCCTTCATCAGCAATAAATCATTTGAGGTTAACAACAGTCACACTAATATGGTTTCTCACTCCATATAATAATAAAATGAGGTACAGAGTAAGTGCTTCTTTTAAAATAAACATCCCTCACCACACAAAAAACAACTGCATAGCATAAAGAGTTTTCAACATAGTCCACAATCAACTTCACTAAAAGCCGTTGAACTGATCATGATCATGTTGTTGCCTGTGGGAGCTTGCTGTGCACATTTTAACTGTCATGTTTCCTACATTACAACAGTGACTACAATTCAAAAACACTTAATCGGCTATAATGAACCATCCAGCGGCCAAGAAGCGTATGATATAAAAGCATGGTAGACTTGGTTGGAGAACATGGGAGCAAATTACTGCAGATGCTGGAATCTAAATTCTAAGGGTGACACGGTGGCTCAGTGGTTAGCACTGCTGTCTCACAGCACCAGGAACCTGGGTTCGATTCCACCCCTCGGCTAACTGTCTGTGTGGAGTTTGCACATTCTCCCTGTGTCTGCGTGGGTTTCCTCTGGGTGCTCCACTTTCCTCGCACAATCTAAAGATGTGCAGGCTAGGTGGATTGGCTATGCTAAATTGCCCGTAGTGTTCAGAGATGTGTAGATTAGGTGGGTCATAGGGGGATGGGTCTGGGGGAGATGCTCTGACGGTCAGTGTGGACTTATTGGGCTGAAGGGCCTGTTTCTACACTGTAGGGATTCTAAGAGGGGGGAAAATATCTCTAAGAAACAACAAATGCTGGAAATCACAGTGGGTCTCAGAGAGAGAGAGCGCAAACTAATTTCTTGAGTCCAGATGACTCTTCATCGGAGCTGACATGAAGTGTGGAGAGGTCAGCATTTATGCAATCCTGGTGTTGGGAGTGGGGTGCTGGAGGAGAAAGGATGTTGGTAGTCCAGATTAAGTAATTGGAATGTGAGAATGGTGCTGGAAAGAACAGACAGTCCCACTGAGGGGGGGAGGTGAGATGGTGACAGAGAATGTAACACGAAAAGCTAAATGAAAGGGTAGGAATGGGTTCACAATTTGAAGGTTTTGAATTCGATATTGAGCTCAGAAGGTTGCAAAGTGCCCATTCTGAACATGGGATTTTGCTCCTCCAGTTTGCACTGCAATGTACTGGAACACTGCAGCGTGCCGAGGACAGACACATGGGCATGCGAGCAGGACGCTGTGTTAAAATGACCGGCTGTGGGAAGGTCAGGGTCATGCTTGCGCAGACACTGGAGGGATATTTTGGGATATTTTCCTGCAGTGACCTCTGTTGGCCAGATCTAGCTACAGGTTCAAACGTACATCCAGGAGCTAAAAGTTTCGGATCCAGCTCGGAATCTCCAATCCCCACCCAGATTAGACAAAGGCAGGCCTCTTCCAGTCTGAAATGGGAGAATTGATCATTGAGAACGAGGAACTGACAGAGCTATTTTAAAAACTACCTCAGTTCTGTCTTCATGCAAGAAGACAGAAATAACCTCTCAGAAATGTTAGGGAAGCAAGGTTCTGTGAGAAGAAGGAATTGAAGGAAATTTGGATTAGGATATAAACTGTTCTGGGAAAAATGAATGGAATTGAAAGCAGATAAACCCTCAGGATAAGTCATATTGAGGTTGTATAGGATGTTGGTGAGGCCTCTTCTGGAGTACTGTGTCCAGTTTTGGTGGCCCTGTTATAGGAAGGATATTGTCAAGCTGGAGAGGGTTCAGAAGAGATTTATCAGGATGTTGCCGGGAATGGAGGGTTTGAGTTATAAAGAATGGATGAATAGGCTGGGACTTTTTCACTGGAGTGTTGGAGGTTGAGAAATGACCTCATAGAGGTTTATAAAATCATGAGGGGTATGGATAGAGTTAATGGCAGGTGTCTTTTCCGTAGGATGGGGGATTTCAAGACTAGGGGCACATTTTTAAGGCGAGAGGAGAAAGATTTAAAAAAGACATGAGGGGTAACTTTTTTTTACACAGAGAGTGGTTCATGTGTGGAATGAACTTCCTGAGGAAGTGGTCGATGGGGGTACAGTCACAATGCTTAAAAGGCATTTAGGTAAATTCATGAACAGGAGGGGTGTGTGCCAGGAGCAGGCAGCTGGGAGTAGTTCAGTTTGGGATTATGTTTGGCATAGCCTGGTTGGACTCAAGGCTCTGTTTCTGTGCAGTATGACTCTCTGACTCTATGGCATGGAAATAATGGCTATCTTAGTTGTCATCCTTGGAAATTCTGTATATTCTGCAACAGTTTGAAGAGTGGCAAATGTAACCCCGCTAATTTAAAAAGGGAGGGAAGGGAAAAACCAGGAATTACAAACTGGCTAACATCAGTAATAAGTAAAATGATAGAGTCTTTCATAATGTACGCTACAACAGGACACTTAGAAAGTACCTTTGGCATTAGTCAAAGTCAACATGAATTTGAAGAGGAAATCATTTTTGACAAATCTACTGGAGTTCTTGAGCATATAGAAAGCACAGACCAGGTTTCTGAACTTAACAAGAATCAATATTTATTGCAGACCATTGGATTCTAGCTTCAGGTGAATAATTAAACTAAATTAGGCAACTTCTACAAATTAAAACTTTAAGTTTGCGCGCGCGCGCACACACACACACACACACACAAACACACATATACACACACAGTCAGACAAATATAAACAAGGGAAAAGAAAATCTCATGGGTGAAGGGAAAACTGGGAAAATAGTTATATAGCTCTTATTCCCAAGATTTGTCATAGAGTCATACAGCATGGAAGCAGACCCTTCAGTCCCAAACAAAAGCAGAAATTACTGGAAAAGCTCTGTGGAGAGAAACCAAAATTAACATTTCGGTCCAGTGACCCTTCCTCAGAACCCTATGGTCCAACTTGTTCAGGTTGGTTCTTGCTGATCCTAATGTTTCTCCCTGACCTTCCCTTTTCTGAGAGCTTCCACTAGTTTTCAAGAGGCACAGGGTAGCTGTTTCACAATTTGCAACATCTGTTGAAGGAAGGATAAGCTGTTTTCCTTCCAGTTTAATGTGGCTGGATTCTATTCTGGTCTCTCCTACTTTCTCCCTGCCTTGCTCCCCCTCTGACATGTCCGTCCTCAGCCTCCTTCAATGTCACAATGACTCAGCACGCAAGTTTGAAGAACAACATCTTATCTTCCGCCTGAGAACCCTACAGCCTGGGGACTCAACATTGAGGCCTTCAATTTCAAATAACCTTCCAGCCCTATTCCCCAGCTCTCCTTCCAGCCCCATCCCCTCCCTTCCATTCCACTTTCTGACCCTCCCTTCCAGCCTCCAACCAGATTCATCCCTCCCATCGACCAACCAGGTCGTACCTACCACCGGTGCCCACCTATCACCACCATTCGGCCACACCCCTTCCTCCCTTCTTTATCTGCAGCTCCCCCTACCCCCACATCCAGTCCTGAAGAAGGGTAATACCCGAAACGTTAACTGCTCCTTTCCTCCAGATGCTGCCTGGCCCTGCTGTGTTCTTCCAGCCTCCTGTTTGTCGACCTTGGTTTCTAGCATCTGCAGTTTTCTCTTCTCTAGGCTTTAAAGCACAATGGTTTACCTTCCTCAAACATCAAATATCCTAACGTAACAAAAACCCAATATTCTGCCAAAGTAGCTCCCTTACTTCTGTAATGAAATCACCATGGCTGCATAGATACTTACAAGCTTATTGTTAAGTTCAGACACTCAGAAAACTCATGTTACGAACTCAAACTTAAATTAATATTTAAACCCCAGCTTATATCAAAGGGTCACCAGTGAGAGGCAATTGACAGCAGTGGGGGGCAGAAGGGCAGTAAAATGATCATAATTACCTGAAATGTGGGAAGAAAGGAGCAGAGACAGAAGTGTTGTTTTTCAACCTAGCTAGTGTAGCCCAGGTCTTGATGTCAGTGGCGGCCTGAGAGATAAGCTCTCACTCCAGCTTTAATCCAAATCTTTTCCACAAAACCATAGACCGAGAAAAAAAGCAGATCAGATCAAAGACTGGAGCAGAATCTAAACCTGTCATTTTGTTATTTCTTGTCCCTATTCCCAAGAGCAGCTGAAATCTTCTTTGCAATCTCTGACTGAGAAGAAAGCGCTGTTTCTGGACATGGAACTGAAGCAGATCCACCGGATTTCTGAAGTTAAGGTAAGTATCTGGATCAATATTTTCCCCGGCAGGAACAGGTGAGCTGTCTGCACGCCTACGGTGGCTCAGCGGGTTAGCACTGCTGCCTCACAGCGCCAGGGACCTGGGTTCGATCCCACCCTTGGGCAACTGTCTGTGTGGAGTTTGCACATTCTCCCCGTGTCTGTGTGGGTTTCCTCCGGTTTCCTCCCACAGTCCAAAGATGTGCAGGTTAGGTGGATAGGCCATGGGGAAATGTAGGGTTACAGGGATAGGGCTGGGTGTGGGTGGGATGTTGTTTGGAGGGTCATTGTGGATTTGAGGGGCTGAATGGCCTGCTTCCACACTGTAGAGATTCTATGACCCAAGTCATATCTGACTTTGCTAAAATGTACCAAGCTCTCACTGAGAAAGTAGCAGTGTTTACTTGGAGTGCTCGGGGAGAAGAGGACAGGATTGTAGATATGCCAAGGAAATAAGGTAGAGAGATCATAACCATTTATCCAGATGATGGTGACAAAACAGGACAGTAAGGAAGATGAGGTTGTTGACTTGCTTCCCGAGCTGTGCTTGTTTTCATTCAGATGTTTGGTGACCATGCTAGGTAACAACATCAGTGAGGCCTCGGAGGAAGCGGTGTTATTCTACAATAACCGTGCGACGCTGTGATAGGGTATACAGAAGCATTTTATTATAAATAAGTGCTTTCCAATTACAGAGCGCGTGATGTTAAAGTCATCCATGCATCTTGAGATGTCAAATCTTAATTGGCTTGTGTAACGTACATTGTAGAATGATCACCATCCACTTTTCCAGTACAATAGAACAATGCAGGGCTAAGCCACTACGGCAACTCTAAAGGAGCGGTTTGTACAATATGACATAGCAGTCAAGCAGCCACTATGACTCTTTTTGTAACGATACAGTTAGGACAACTTTAATATTCTAAAGTAAAAAAAAAAGTTCTTTGTCAGAATGGATTGAGTTACCGTCGTAATAGGTCGAGGGGGCTGCGTGGGTTGTGAAAGCAATGAACAGCAACACAACTGTGATGGAAACAGCTCTTATTCTTTTGTTCAGTAAACCAACGGGTTCGTACCAGAATCGATCAGGAGGCGGCGACTGCATTTGGTGCCGGTCTCCCACAGGCTGATATTCCGCGCTCCTGAAGTCCTCTCAACTGAATACTGGACTTGGCCGCGTTACGGTGACGTGGCCCATTTCTGTGAGCCCCCGGCTCACATTTCAATTTCCGTCCCTTGAACAGCTTCGAGTGGTTCGAGCAACACTTTCACTCTTTGTGCAGTTGTGCAGACCTCAAAACATCATCTACCGAAGATTTTTGCCTTGTGTTCATGTTCCCGTTGCTTGCCTATGCTTTGGCCAATCAGTACCCTTTCCCTCCAGGACTAAAAATCGTTTTGAAATTTGGCATTCTTGCACTTGTTCTGACGAATGCAAGACGGTAATCTCCTGCAATGCGTCTCTTTTTGCTTATGGGCTCTGGGTTAAACAACTTCATTAGCTGGTGCTTCTCCTCCTGACTTGGCCACACTTTACATCAGCTCCATGAATAAGATCCATCAGTCTGGGTGGACTGCTCCAAGATTTGACATCAGCAAGTGCTTTGCCAAGGATCATGCACCCATCAGCCTAGCTGTGAGACATTGACCTATGCTGATTGAAACTCTTGAATTATTGTAAGTAATAACATACTCCTAAAGTGGGGTGGGGGTGCATGAGAGGATGAACTCAGTGTGGACTAGGACAAATCCCTTCGCCTGGTTTCCTCCTAACAGGGTGAACTCATTACCTATGTTCTGTTTGAAGTGACGGTTGAAATACATTCTAACTTACATCTGGTCCACGTATCATTTTAACAACAGCGAATCCCCTCACTATCCTCACCAAACTTCCCGGGTCTGAAGAGAGAAGCTGAAACTGAACCGAGTGACAAGTTTGTAAAACCCTCAATCGCTTGTAATTTCACAAGAAAACTCAACAGACTTTGGACTCTCTGTGACTTTGGGATGGGTCTTTTTGAAACTGTGGCCAGCCAGGGAGCGCATCCTTTCCAAAAGCCCCAATGTGAATTATTTCCCTGGGGGAAATGTTGACGGGCAGTGGCTGGGGAACACAGGTTCTCGATAAGTGAGGGCTGATGCTAAGTCTCGTCAACGGGATTTGAGGAACTTTTAAACAGTAAGATATTCTTCAGTCAGTCACAGCACGACACAGCGAAAAAACTGTGCCCTTCCCAACAAACGCGAGAGCATTTTAAAAGTGGCACGATACACTCTGCCTAAAATCCACCCCCCACCACCAAAAAAAACCCCAAAATAAACAAAACAGAGCCCTAGCGGAAATCCCGAAACTTTCACGATCGACAGGAGAGGGTTTCTGGTTCCACAGCCCACCACGAAGAGGCTTGGGGCTGGTGTTTGTTCCTCCCCCCAACTTTCCTCTGTTCCCAGGGGAGAGAAATTGGGCTATGTGATCCATATCCGGGACTGGTCAACGGGAACATCAGAGGCCATTCCAATAAGGCCGCAAGACGTGGGAGCAGAAATTAGGCCCATCGGTTCTTGCCTAGCCATTCAATCATGGCTGATAAGTTCCTCAACTCCCCATTTCTCCCGCTTTCACCCTGGATCCCCTTGACCATCGAGAACCTATCCGTCTCTGTCTTAAATGTACTCAATGACCTGGCCTCCCCACCACCCCACAGCCTTCTGTGGCAGTGAATTCCACCGACCCACCACTCCCTGGATGAAGAAGTTCTGACGTTTTCGCCGCGTTCATGCAGTTGGAGGATGCCGTTGACCGATAGGAACCGAGGATACTCAAGCCCCTTCCCCTTCCCCCCCCCAACACCCCCCCCAACACCCCCACCCCGCCCCGTAGCTACGGACTGACCCTCTGACCGGCGCCTCCCCGGCCCCTGTCACTTGTACAGGAGGTGGACCCGGCTACCGTCGCAGTTGTTCCTGGCCAGCTTGTCTGCCGGCTCGGCGCAAGCCAGACGCTGCACCAGGAGCGGTTTGGGCTGGTACAGGGAAGAGACGGTCCCCGCGGACGAGTTGCTGTAGTGGTTGTCGGTGTAGCTCTCCTTGGAGACGGCGGCGGCAGCAGCGGCAGCGGCGGTGGTGGATGGGCGGCGCCGGGAACGGAGCTGCTGCCTCTCGTGGAGCTGTTGGCGAAGCTCCAGGATTCGCTCTTCTTTCTGGAACGGGACACGCCCGTTAGGTGCAGGCGAGGCATCGGCGGGGGGGGCTACGCTCCCCCCACCCCCCACCCTTCCTCCTCCCGCCCCGCCTCCTCCACCGCGCGGCCGAGTGGGCTGTCTGTCGGGAAATCCAGCGACACACCACCACCACGCCCCACCCCGACCACACACCACCCACCCACCCCCACCAGCCACCACCCATCACCCCACACCCACCCACCACCCCACATCCCTCTCTCGGCCATTCACACCCTGGGCACAGACTCCTTTCGACCAACAGAGAGATGCCAAATTGGCTGCTTGTTGTATGCCGTCCCTCCCTCCCTCCCACTAACGCCTCTCACCCCCTCGGGATACTGCCTGTGTGGAGTTTGCACATTCCCCTCACCCCAACCTTGTCTACGTGGGTTTCCTCCGGGTGCTCCGGTTTCCTCCCACTGTCCAAAGATATGCAGGCTAGGGTGGATTGGCCGTGCTAAATTGTCCCATAGTGTCAAGGGATGTGCAGGTTGGGTGGGTTAGCCATAGTAAACGTAGAGTTATAGGGATAGGGCGAGGGGCTAGGTCTGGGTGGATTACTCTTTGGAGGGTTGCTGCGGACTCAATGGGCCGATTGGCCTGCTTCCTCACTGATCTATGAATATCCCATGAAAGGATAAAGAAAAAAAAAAATTAACGAATAATGAACGAAACAGAAGGCGTGAGGGCAGTTGTCTCCTCATTCATCCTGAGACAGCCGATAAATAATAAATGGATGTGTTTTTTTTAAATCTTTCTAACAAGGTCAAAATTGATGCTTTCATGGAACGTTAATCCTGACTGACTTTTGCTGTGGGCCTCTTCAGAACAGACACAGCAAGTGCCCCAAAAGTGAAAGCAGAAAACTTTTAATGCCATTTCCCAGGCCCGTGTTGGGGATTAACTGCTGTTACTTTGGCACAAACCTGTGAACGGAGATATTCATTGCCTCAATGGAGAGCAAAGTTGGATGGGATGGGGTGACAATGAAGCACAGCAGTTCCCCGATGGGAAGATGGAGGTAAAATTGCTTTGCAAGGTTTCTGAGCAATTCCAAACAACCATTGCTACCCTGTCAGACATTTCCCACTAAAAATATATTGGAAAGAAACTGCAAACGAATCGAAGGGGGGGGGGGTCATCTTTTTCGGCAGTTTGGGGTTGTTTTGTATTTTTTTTAATAGAATCCCTACAGTGTGGAAGCAGGCAATTCAGCCCATCGAGTCCACATCGACCCTCTGAAGAGCATCCTGTCCCCATAACCCCGCATTTCCCATGGCTAGCTTACACATCGTGGACACTATGGGAAATTTATAGGTAGGAATGTGGAAAGAGGGAGATAACTGCCCAAGCCTTGAGTGGGTCACCAATGCATTGGCTTAATTTTCAGTCTTTCCACGGAAATGAAACGTTGATAAAAGGAGACGTGGGGTTGAGGTCTTGGACCGATCAGGACTTAAACACAAAAAACAAGCCAGACTCGAAAGAAAGCAGCAATTGGTACAACAGAAAAACAAGTTTGGGCTATCACTGGCGAGGAGACGCCGTGGGAATTGACTGTTAAAGTTAGATTCAAACCTTGGAAGTCAAGGAAACTTGAGTGGCACCAGTTTGGCAGGGGCACTGCCATGGGGCAGCAGGATTTGGCTGTCTTCAGAGACCTTTCCTCGGTAACAAACAGTGTGCAATGTGTGGACACATTCCTTTTGCCTACAAGCCACAGTCTAACCAATTAGCCCCCTCTACTCATGCTGTACAACGCGTTGCATCTTTTTCCAATTCGGTCTTCTTGTGTATCAGTGCAAGACAAACAGCTCTGACTTCAAATCATAGCTCTGAAGGCAGAATGTAGTGCTGTTTGAGAACTGTCTTGCTCACTGTGGTGGGCTATTCAGTTCCTTAAGCTTGTTCCATCTTTGTAATAGATTGTGCCTGATCTATCTCTACAGCTACCTGGATGATGGAAATATGGAACCATTTCACTCAAAATGCTCTGGAAGACTGCACAGTCAATGAAAAATTTAAAACCTGGTAGATTTTTTTGTTGTTACGTAATCATACCAAGTGAGGCAGACATCGGTGAGACTAATAATCCAGCTTTGGGACATGAGTCCAAATCCTACCAGCGGATTTTAAATCCAGTTAATAAATATGTAATAAATTGAAAGCTTCCAATTATTGGTGAAAATTTTCACCTTCCCTTCAGGAAAGGAAGTCTGCTGTCCTTGTCTGGTCTGGCCTACATGTGGCTCCAAGACACACAGGAATGACATTGACACTAAACTACCTCTGAAACTTGTTTCTGTGGCGCAATCAGTTAGCACGCTTGGCTACTAACTGAAAGGTTGGTGGCTCAAACCCACTCAGGGACAATGAGCTCCTTTGCTTTTAGGGCGTGGTGGTTAAGTGGAAAGGCGTTGGTCTTGTAAACCAAAGGTCATAGGTTCGATTCCCACCTGTACTTCGCAGCGCGTTTGTTATTAATTTGGGGTGACACGGTGGCTCAGTGGTTAGCGCTACTACCTGTGTGGAATTTGTACGTTCTCCCCGTGTCTGCGTGGGTTTCCTCCGGGTGCTCCGGTTTCATCCCACAGTCCAAAGATGTGCAGGTTAGGGTGGATGGGCCGTGCTAAATTGCCCATAGTGTTCAGGGATGTGTAGATTAGGTGGGTGGGTCTGGGTGGGATGCTCTCAGGGTCGGTGTGGACTTGTTGGGCCAAAGTGCCTGTTTCCACACGGTAGGGATTCTATGATCTATGCTTCTGAAACAGCTAAAGGACATGCAGGCTTGGGTGATGTGTGCTGGCCTGGTCAGCAGTGACACCCACATCCCACAAAAGAATGAAAGGGAAAGAGAGGTGTGCAGAGTCAAAAAGGGGAAGCCAGAGTTCGGATACAAATTAAAACCACGGTCTAACCGAACGTGGGAACAAGCGGGAAGAAGGCTTCCCCTGTTCCTAATCCCCGCGTGAATGACGATGACCCACTTAGCGCTGCCACACATGTCAGACAGACCTCAACGATGATTTTCTCCAGCTCCCGATTCTCCTTCTCCAGTTGCCGCGATTTCTCCTCGTCATTGTTGTTAGTGGAGGATCCGGTCTTCATGGTGTCCTGCTGCTCGGATTGCCACTCTCCTCGGGTGATCAGTCTCCGCATCTGTCACAGAAGACATCAGCGCAAATCTCAGCCACTACTTCACACTTATGGAAACGTGGAAACCTAGGAGCAGGAGTAGGCTGTTTGAGCCTGCACTTATCATTCAACATGACTGATCATCGAGCTCAGTACCTTAATCCCACTCTTCCCCCATACCCCGTGATCCCTTCAGCCACAAGGTTTATCTACCTCCTTCTTGAAAACACAATGTTGTGACTTTCTGAATTCCACAGGTTCACCTCTCTCTGGGTGAAGAAATTTCTCCTCACCTCAGACTTAAATGGTTTACCCCTTATCCTTAATCTGAAACCCCTGGTTCTGGGCTGTCCCACCACCAGGAACATCCCCTGCATCTAACCTGTCTTGTACTATTAGAATTTTGTAGGTTTCTATCAGATCCACCTGCTTCGTTCTTCTGAACGCCACTGAATACAGTCCTAACTGACTCAACATCTCTCCTTGTACGTCAAGCTCGCCATCCCGAGAATCAGTCTGGTTAACCTTTGCTGCACTCCCTCCAAACCCAGGTCATCTCCCCTTCAGCTGAGACCAAAACTGCATGCAATACTCCAGGTGTGGCCTCTCTGGGGCCCCCTGTATAATTGCAGCAAGAAATCCTTGCTCCCGCGTTCGAATCCTCTCTCACTACAAAGGCCAAAGGACAGTTTGCCTGCTTCAGTTTGCTGGGCACCCATGTGCCAAAGGCAAGAAGGAAAGAACTTGCATTTGCCCGTGCCCCTGGCCAGCCACTATGGCACACTTTACCCCAAGTCAGTATGCTGTAGGATCTAACCATTTTCTGATACTACCATTGAAGTACTCCTCTCTACCAAAGGTGCTGTTTTTTTTCAGAATTCTTTCCTCTTGGGAACATGTGAGATAGCATATGGCACTATTTTGAAAAGTCACTTGAAACAGGAGCAGGAATAGGCCATTCGGCCCCTCAAGCTTGCTCTGCCATTCAAGAGTTTTGAGCCTGCTCTGATTGTGACCTTAATTCCACTTCCCTGCTTCATAATTCCTCCATCGGGTCACCATTTAATCCTATCTGTTGCTGAAAAATTGGCCCCAGTCTGCCTGGATAAGCTATAATCTCTCAATTCTGATTGCATTCTCGTAAATTCTCTCTTCTAATCCTCTCCAGTGCTTCTAAATCCTTTTCTTTTTTTAAAATACAGTGGAGACCAGGTCCTTCGACCGTGTTCTAAACCAAACCTCTGTACATGTTGAACGTAACTTCTCGAGTAGTGAGTTCCATTTCTCTCGAAACGACCCCAAACACGGCCTTCGCGTTTTTGCGCGGCTAAGCAGCCTTGCTACTCCTCATGCTTTGAGCATCAATACTCCCCGGATTTCCTACTTCCCTCAACTTTATCGAGACTCTTAAAATCTCCGCTGTGCTTCAGTGCCGCTGGGTCAAAAATCCTGGAACTCCCTCCCTTAGGGCACTGTGGGTCAACCTATAGCATGTGGACTGCAGTGGTTAAAATAGGCAGCTCCCCACCACCTTCTCAAGGGGCAACTAGGGACGGGAAATAAGAGCTGGGCCCGGCCAGTGACGCCCATTTCCCACGAGCGAATTAAAAAAAAAAACGAGCGTGAGGCCGTTATATTCATCCTGCCAATACCCTCACAATTAATTAACTGATTGGCCAATTCCACAGTCGCTTTGCAAGATTAACCTTTTCTCATGTCTCGTTGCGGACCTCCTCTGTACTTATTATGCCTCCCAATTTGGCTGGCATCTGCCAATCTACTTATTGCACTTCCAATTCGCACATCTGAATTCAGTTATAGAAAGGTCAATGGGCAGCAATCCCAGTGCTCGGGCCATGTGGAACAGGACAAAGTAATTCAACACCTCCTGCCTTGGGAGTTGGTGAGCTCAGTTGGCTGGGTAACTGGTTGGCAATGTAGGCTGATGCCAACAGTGCGGGTTCAATTCCTGTCCTATCTGAGGTTATCACAAAAGTCCTGCATTCTCAACCTCAACCCTTGACCTCAGGTTAAACTCGCTACCAGTTTTGTGTGTGTGCGCATGCGCATGTGTATGCATGTGCGTGTGTGTGTGCATATGAGTGTGCGCGTGTGCGAGTGTGTGCATGTGTGTGTGTGCGCACGTGTGTGCATGTGTGTGCGCACACACGTGTGTCTCTCTGTAATGGGAGAGTGTGTGGGACCATGCTGATTTTATTTTGGCCATTGAATGAGATCATGGTTGATCTGTGGCCCAACTCCAAAGCCTCACATTTGCTCCAAAGGTCCTCAACATCTTCAGCTCACAAAATAAAAGTCTACAGAACTTGGGATTTAAAATGGACAACTTTCCTGATATCAACTCCCCTTTCGCCGAAAGGAATTCTGTACATAGCCACCCACTCTGTGCAAACGTGCTCACTCCTGAGGGGCCTGACTCCAATTTTAGATGATTTCCCGAGCCTCAACGAGGCAGAAATACTTTATCTCGATCCGCCCTATCTGTTCCTCCTCATACTTTGCAAACTTTGCTCAGCTTCCCCCTTTAAGTGTAGCAGATTCCAGAGAAGGCACTCCTTTTCCACTGGTCTGAGCTGCTACCCCAAAACCGCTGCTGTCTGTTTCGAAATCAGCGGCCTGTGTTTCACCTCGGATCAGAGACCGGGGGCACACGCCCATCACTCGCGGGTTTTTTTCTCCCTGCCCCAGTGAAAGGGCAGGGCTTCACGAACCTTGGGGACAAACAGGACCACCAGGGTGATGTAGACAGAGAACACGACAGCGAGGGAAGCGAAGGCGAAGGCAGCATCCTGCTGACTGCTAACAATCATGGTAACTGGGGCAGTGATCATACAAAGCACCTAAAAGCAAAGACAGAAAGAAAAAGAGAGAGAGATTGGAGTCATGGAATCATCATAGAGTCCTTATTGCCTGGGAGCAGGCTGTTCGGCCCATCGAGCCTGCAGCGACCCGCCGAAGAGCGTCCCACCCCGACCCAACCCTCTACACCCCAGTAACCCTACATTTCCCACGTCTAACCCACCCAAGCCTGCGCACCTCTTGCACACAATGGGGCAACTTAGCACGGCCAATCCACCCTAACCTGCTCGCCTTTGGACTGTGGGAGCAAAGCCACACAGACACGGGGAGAATGTGCAAATTCCACACAAGGGTGGAATCGAACCCGGGTCCCTGGCGCTGTGAGGCAGCAGTGCTAACCTCAAATCAGCAAATAAACCCACACTGCAGTGATATGTAAGGGAGGGTTAGAATGAGAAGGAAAGGCTGACATCTGTGGAACACATCACATCATTTCAGCGACAAACCACAGTAAGGGGAGGCGATAGCCTAGTGGGGTTATTGTCAAACTATTAATCCAGAAACTCCGCTAATGGTTCAAATCCTGCCGTGGCAGATGGTGAAATTTGAATTCAATGAAGAATCTGGAATTAAGGGGCTAAAGATGACCATGAATCCATTGTTGGGGGAGAATCTCACCTGGTTCACTAATGTCCTTTAGGGAAGGAAGCTGCCATCCTTACCTGGTCTGGCCTACATGTGACTCCAGACCTGCAGCGATGTGTTTGACTCTTAACTGTTATTAGGAATGGGCAATAAATGCTATCTTAGCCAGAGACCCACATGCTGTGAGTGAATTAAAAAGAGTTTCACAGCTGAGGAGTTCCTGGAGTATTGTTATGGTACAGTCAGTGTTGTAAATGTAGCGATCACCTCAACCAATTTTTACGCAGGAAGAGCCCACAAGCATTCACCGTGAACGTGGCCTGCCCGTCACTTTTGTTTGAGAAGTGACGCTAGTTGCAAGACACTCGGGGTGGGTCAGAGATTCTCTCCAAATGCTTTATCTTTTACGTGTGAGGTCCCTCTTGTATGCCCAGGCTCTCTGTGCCAATGCACGCTGCCTCAAAGGGGGTGGGGTTAGAGACGGTCACACATCTCCTGCTGGAATATGCCTTTGCAAAGGAGGTCTGGACAGAGATGCAATGGTTTTTGTCGAGGTTCATCCCAAGCAGCTCCGTGATGCAGGACTCTGTGCTCTATGGTCTGTTCCCTGGGACACACACCGAGACAAACATTGACTGCACCTGGAAGGCCATTAACTCAGTGAAAGATGCTGTCTGGTCTGCCCGAATCTTGTTGGTTTTCCAGAGCAAGGAGCTGACCCCGACTGAGTGTTACAGACTGGTACATTCCAAGGTCCAGGACTACATACTGACGCACTAAAGCTTGGGGCAGCTGCTGCCAAGGTGTTTTGGGGAAAGACCACCGTCTGAGGTCTTCCTGCCAAAGTACAACGGGGGGCCCATTCAGATATTGGACCCTCCTGGTGCCTCAACGATATGTAAATATAATCCTGTATGAGTAAGAAATGCCTTGGGTTTGTTTGTTCGATAGATTCAAACTCCGATGTTTGTTTCTTCATACGCTACTGAACAGAACCAAACTGCTTTAGCTGACTGTGTATGTAGATCGAGATGTTTTAATGGATAAAGTGTATTTTTGAAATGAAAACAAAAACTTTTACATTCACCCGAGGGGTGCCTCATCTGAAGAGGGGCAGTAATTTGAAGGTACTGCATCAGCTTGGAATTTCTGCTCAAGTCTCTGGTAAGGGACCAGTACTGGGACGCTGGAACGCTGTCAGGATACAAGCTGTTTCTGCTCAGATCAGAATAATGAATGTTAGCTTGGTGCCTGGCTTCGTAACTGGATTCAGGAGCTGGCCAAAGAGAATGCCAGGAAATCTTTCAGACTTTCAATGAGCTGCTGCTCTAACATATAGGGATTCGGTACTGACATGAGGAGGTGGTGGGCTGTATGAGTGCTACTGGAAAACAAAAATAAAATGCCCACAGCCTCAAAGCTCATGGTTGCTGGCAGAGGCCAGAAGTAGCGAATACAGAGAAAATAAAGAAAGGGTTCAGGGCTCCCTCTTGGGCGACAGAGATAGTGTGACCTACCCCTGGAGTGGGAGGCCTGGGTTCAAATCCGACCTGCTCCAGGTCCGCATCAGGAAAAGTAGGTTACTGAACAAAATGATGCCTAAATCATTAAACGTAAACAATCACTCAATAAAGATAAACAGGACTAATTGGGCAGCTCTTTCAAAGGGCTGGCACAGGCACAATGGGCAGAATGTCCTCCTTCTGTGCTGTCATTGCTTCCGCCAGATGATGGGATCTGGGTGCTGTTTGGTGACACCATCCTGGCCGCACCGAAAGCCGCATTGCAGGCACGGCTTCCCGCAGTATATCTGTACGGAGAACGTTTGAGTGCTGGCCCCTCCTGCAGTGTACGGGATAGGAGCACTGGCCACGACATGCCACCCTCCCTTTCACTGAGGGTCAGTGTGGCCCAGCTCTGGGCATCACGCTGGAGGGGTGGAGGAACACTCAGGGGCAAGAAGAAGTGGCAGGAGATCAGAGCAGGGTTTCTCGTGCCAGTGGACCAAGATTATTGACAAACCAGGTTTGCGAGGGAGGCACCAACGTGACAAGAGTGGGCAGTGGGATTATACTTCTGAAGGTACAAGCTAGGGGCAGGAGAAGGTCATTCAGGCCCTCTATTCTGCTAAGCAATTCAAGAAGATCTGATCTGATTCTGATCTGTTCCTGACATTCCCTGAGAACCCTCGCTAGGCAAGAACCTGGCTACCTCTGCCTTGAAAACATTGAATTCACCTCCAAAGGCTCACCATCCTCTGAAAAAGTCTCACTTGTTGTCTATAGCAAAAGGTGGGATCGTTCACCTCGATGAGGAGGTGAGCAATATGACATTGTAGGATGGGTTTCGGAGTGAGGCAGGAATGTCAAGGTTCAGAGAGGTGAGAGCCTGTGGGTATTTCAACAGTGACGTTAATCTGAGAATCCTGCATTGCAGAAACTGCCTTTGCAACAGAATGTAACATTCTGGGAGACTACCTCCCTGTTGGCCTGGAACAATCAGATCCCTGTTATTGTGGATGGGTAGGTTTTCCATGATGTACAGTGACTAATCGAGGGGTTCAGATGGTTTATATATAGAGTAATGGATACCTGGGAGTGAGTTACAGACTGGAATCCAATTGAGGGGTTCAGATGGTTTATATATAGAATAACGGATACCTGGGAGTGAGTTACAGACTGGAATCTAAT